CAAAGGGGCCTCCATTCCCACAGCTCACGTCAAATACAGAAGGCCCCCAAATCATTCCATCCCATTTCTGGGAGGATACTCAAACTGACAGCAGTGATGCCTCTGGATCAGGGGAACTGAGGGCTAGGGACAGGGATGAGGAAGTGACTGGCTTTCTCTTGTGCACCTTTTGAATTTGGAACCATGCAGATGTACTGCCTATTCAAAAAAAAGACGTAAATGATGAGTAAAAGTGCCAGTCCAAGGGCCCCAGGACAGGCGGACTTGCCCTTGAGGACCAGAGCCAAGACCACCCACAGGCCAGCTCCCCAGGACCACACTGCCCAAGCCCAGTGTCAGCAAATGGAATGTGTGGCAGGTGTGCTGTGACTCCAAGAACTTGGTGGAGAGTGGTTCTCCTCCAAGCAAATGAAAACTCAGCTTCTGCTAATCTCCACCAGAGCCTAGCACCAAACTGGAGGAGGAACTTCTAATGTATCAGACACACGAACACACTCAGCGCAACCTCCCTGTGGAGCTCTGGGACCGTGGAAGTGCTAGGAAGCCCAGGAAACTGGTGAGAGGGGAAGGTAGGCCCGAGCTCCAGGTGAGAAAGGGCTGGGTGGGCGTCTCCTGCTGGAGGAAGGGCATTCCTAGCATTCCAGGCCCTTGCCTCAGGGAGGGAGGAGCACCTTCCTGGAAAAAACAAAACAAAAAATACCCCTCAATGCCTTCTTCCATGGCTGAGGCTCCACAGAGAACACGATGAAGGCAATGCACCCTCCTCTCAGGAGACAGCTCACCCAAACTTTACCACAGAATCTCAAGAGGTTCACATGAACACCTTAAAGCCCACCTATGAGCCCAAGAACACCTCTCTTCCGCTATTCAGGAACTGGGGAAGACCTTAACCAACCTCTGACTCAGATACAAAGAGCAGTCTACTTAGTTGGCAGGGCCCTATGTTGGAATTCAAGTAAGAAACGGAACCAGAAAGATGTCAGAAGACAAAGCGGTAAGTTCTCCAAACCACTCATCCAGTTGAAAAGGCACAAGACTAGAGTCAGAATCTGGCTTGAAACTCTAGCTCTGTTCTTCACCTGCTGTATACAACCCTGGGCAAATCACAACTTTTCTGAGCCTCAGTTTCCTCATCTTTAAGATGGATATAATGATAATACCTCGGAGGTAATAACCTGTGAGAATTAGACAAAAATTACATGGTTGTATCCAACTGTAGAAATTTATCATTATACACAATATTTTTGCACTTTATTTACTTAGGGTGTACTTTAATAAAAATGACAAGATATTAAATATGAATGTAGCTAGCAGTGTACATCTGTCACAAAGCTGACAACATGTTACCCTGCAAAGTCGCTGCTACTTTCAACAGGACCTTCCCAGCTTCATCTGGTTCACAGAAGGATGTCACCTCCTCAGAGAAGCCTTCCCCAACCACTCCTCACAAACTAGGTCAGAACCACGTGATATGCTATACAGCTGTCCTTTAGTGAGTCTGCCTTAGCTTATTTTTATATATTTATCACAGTGATAACTTGTTTCCTATCTCCCCCACTAGATTATAAGCTCCTAGAGGATGAAAGACTGTGCATGCACAGCTTTCAGCTGACTCCTGTGTCCCCAGGACCTGCCACATGGTAGATGTGGATAAATACTTGTTAAAGGTTGTATCTTGAACCAAGGCAGCCTGGCATAGCAGTAGAGAGATTTGCCCAGAGTCCTCATAGCCATTTCTCATTTGTCCTAGTAACCAGACCTCTTCCTGGCCTGGATTCCTTGCCCTACTCAGTCAATTTTGGAACCAGATGTGCCTAGACTGCCAGCTCTCAGAAGTCACATTATTTATTCATGATGCAGCTCTATGCTGTCAGTATTATCTACTGATCTTCAAGATCCAGGTCAAGAGGTTCCCAGACCTGGCTCAGCTGAGTACACAGCCCCTTGCTCACTCAAGAGCACCAAGTTCCGAGGCAGCCTTGATTGTACCCTTAGGACCCGGTGACTCCCTTACCTCAACCACTTTCAGTCCCAGGACATGTGGGTCAGGGGCCAGGAGGGCTGAAGGAATCTTTAGGGTGGGTCAGAAAACAGAGTCCTAAATGATTCAACATGGAAAACCCGAAACCTATCCGCCTTCGGTTACAGAGGACAGTGGGGCGGGGCTGGGGAGCAGGACAGCTCCAAGGCCAGCCTTGCGTAAGTCCTAGAGGCAGGTAAACAGTGATCCAGCACCAGGCAACATGGAGTCCAGAGCCTTCACTCTCACCAGATGCCTGACCCTGGTTTTCCCCTCCCCTGGAATGTGCCCAAGGCGCTCCTCACAAACTGTACTCTGGGAAGAGACTGGACCACAAGTTAATTCAGCTTCATCGGTCGGCCTCTATCATTCCTTCCCCAAGGAGGGGGAAGACACTGAACCTGGACCAAACAGCCACTTCTCCCCGAGTTACTCATTAGCCTGCCCTGCCCCAATTCCATCAACTCTGGCCCAGCCATACTGTCTGGCTCCCAACTAGGAGTGACAAGGTCTCTGTACTCCTGGCAGGGAGTAGGGGTGGGGTGGTTTGGGGTGTCCAGAAGAACTGATATGCCAGGACTGAGGAATATGTTAATGCTACATAATTGGCAGATTTAGAAAATGGGAGAACTAGAATAGAGATTAGACTCCCCTCAGAGGCAATAAGAAAAGCAAATGGTCCAAATACAAAAGGACAGCTCAGTGACCTTGATCATTCAGCTCCTATTTTCTCATAGTTACAGGGATAAGAAGGTTCCCTGTGGATCCAAAAAGAACCCCTCAAGTAGATTCCTGGCTACATCCACTGGAAAAGAAAAAAGCCGAAACCCGAGAGCCAGGCTGGAGCTGCTTGGCCAGTGGGGGAAAAAACACAATGAGGAACTGGGCCCCTGCAAACTGGCTGGACTGGTTTGAGAAGCAAGGGGAAGGGGAGGGCCAGGGACACTCCACTGGCAGCTAGTAAAGCAGAGATATTCCATACCACAGAGGAGGCTGAGGGGCAAAGATATGGGCAGGGACTGTCTAGTCTAGATGCCAAGGCCAAGACTGAAAGAGGCAGAAGGTAGAGAGGGAACAGGTGAGAGGAGCAGATGCACAAAGAACCTGGCAAGTGACCGACCAGTCTGTGGCAGGAAGACTCTACTCCTCCCTCTCAATTCTCAAAGATGCATTCCTGATCCCTCACTTACCTGGGCCACCTCCCTGGACCTTAACTCCCCTCCCCCACAGAAAGGAAAGCAGCCCTAGCGCCTCCTCACCTCCCACAGAGGTGAAGGCATGCAGGTCAGCCTGGGAAAGGCAGGAAGGGCTCTAGGAAGCCAGAATCATTTTAGGATCACACAAATCTCTGGATTAGCAGTCCCCTAGTGCCAACCCCCCACTCCCAAATATACAGGATGAAAAAAAAAAGAGGTGCAGAGGCAGGTGCAGGCAGCCAGTGAACAATGTAGCGGTTGCTAATTACTCCCCAGTTACAACTTTCCTCAGGCAGGGCATCAAAGGGGCCAAGCTAAGGCTGGCTCTTAACTGCCTAAGGCACGGGAATCTGCCTCAGAAGACTTGTTAAGCCCCAGTGTGCACTGTGCACCAATCATCCAGCGGGAGACTTGGAGGTGCTAACTCCCCTAGTCTTGTGGTCTCCTGACGAGTCCTGCCCATTTCCTGCATCGCTAGTGCCTGCTGCCAGCCTGACAGCCAACATGATCCAGGAATCAGGGACGCCTGGCGGGGGGGGGGGGGGGGCGGGGGAGGGGCAGCAGTTCAGGGAGTAATGGGGATCTTCTGAGAGGCATCAAGGAAGTCGATTAGTTGACTAGGCTCCCAACCATCACCCAATGGCCTTATTTAACAGCACAGAAGAAAGTACCTGTGCTTGGGGGCAATGTTTGACATTAGCCCCAGAAAGAGGCCTCATTAGAGAGAAAGAATTCTAGATATTTTGTAGGCCTAGGGATCTTGCTTCCTCACATCCCTATCTAGAGGAAGAAGAAAAAAATTCTCCCTAGCATGAAAGTAAAGAGGACAGAAACTGAAAGCCTGAAATAGTTTCACACCTAGCAAAGGGTTGCGGGTGCCCTCTTGTCCTGCCCCTCAGTGTTTCTTATTTGCGACTGTCTTCACCTGTAGGTGACTGGTTTGAGAAAGTTCCACACCCCAGAGCCATCTCAAAGCCAGCGAGAGGCGTCTGCGGCAGCTAGACTGGCAGTCAGAGGACAGGAACCTCAGGGAAACAGCACCTCTCCGTGCCCTCCCCCTTCGTCTCTGAACCTGGCAGCAGTTCCCTTTGCCCAACTGAGACGAACTCCTTCTCCCCACCACCCCGGACTCCCAGAGAAATTCTGCCCCTGGGACTGGCATCAGACCTCCAGAAAGATCCTGGCCCTGAAACGCTGTCATGCCCTGGGAATAAACTTAGCCTGAGGTGCCCCTCACCTGGCACCTTCCCCTGGCACCTGCCTCTAGCACCTCAGACTGGGAACCAGCTCTTGATCAGTACTCCCACCCCACCTTGACCTCCCCGCCAGCAGTCTCCAATTCAGCACCAGCGCCCTGCAGGGACCTATCGCTGATCGCCGCGCCCTGAGCCCAGCGCTCCGCAGGGATACACCTGAGGGCCCGCTTGCCTCTCAGGTGCCCTTACCCCGCGCGGTTCACTCACCCCAGCCGGGCTCGGCGCTCCCGGGCTCGGGCAGAGGTGCACGCGCGGCTCTGGGCCCCCCCACGCCCCTCCGTCGGTGGCAATCCCTCCGGCCGTCCTCCCTCCCACCAACCTGTTACTCCCTCCGCAGCTCCACCCCCATTGGCCAGCACCACCCGCCCGCCCTACCCTCCCTCCGGTTGGTCCGCGTCCCGCAAGGGGCGGGGCCACCGCCGCCGAGACCCGGACCCGGGGTCGCCGGCCTCGGCGAGCCGGGGGTGCGGGCCGGGTCACGTGGCCAGGCGGGGCGGCCGGGGGAGGCCATTTTGGGGGCCACGCGACGCCGCCCCACCTCGGGCCGCGGCCCCGGGCGCCGCCTTGCCAGAGCATCCTCGGGGCTCAGCTGGAAAAGCGCTCTCGGCCTCCGGTGCTCTCAACCGGAATCTCTGACCAAACCCCGTTCTGCCCTTCACCTTCCTCCGCGAAAACCAGGTTATTCCCCCGGCGCCTTCGCGGCGGAGCGCCCCCTGGCCCGCGGTCAGAGCCGCCTCCGCCCCAGCGCGGCCCCCCGCCCCCCGGCCCGAGGCCAGCGCTCGGGTCCAGGGCTCTCCTCCCGGTCCCCGGGCTCCACGAAGCACTCGCCAGCCTTGTTCCTTTTCAGTGTAGTGTTTTATCAGCCTCCTGATTTACATTAATCTCGGAAATCCCAGGCGCCGTTCGGGTTTTGCCCTACAGTGGTCCGCCCGGAGCAAGGATCTCTTGTTCGCTGTTTCATCCCGAACGTCTACTGCAAGGAAAAGTCACGAATTAGATGCTTAATAAGTATCTGTCGAATGAACTGGCACGGGGGGGGGGGTGGACTTTACATTGAAGCGGGATGTAAATTTACATCAGATAGGAGTGATCCTCACTCTGAAGGGAAGGGGACTCACTCCGATTTTAAGTCCCACTTTTTAAAAAGCGGGGAAACTGATCTCAGTCCTCAGGAGAGTAGTCGGGGGGCTCAGCAAACCGGAGGCGCTGCTGCCCCACCAGCTGTGGTTAAACAGTGTGGCTCTGAGTTGGCTTCCTATGTGGTAACCGCTGACGTGAAAAAAAGCTTGGTTTAGCTTACATCTCTGGGCTCTGGATATTCTCCTCGCTTTTTTTATTCAACAAATATTTACTGTGTAGTATTTAGGGTTGAATTGGAATCTTAAATGCAGCTGCCAGTCCGGTTTATTCACGGGAGCTGCTTCCTTCCCCTCCCCCATCCTTCGGAGGCTAGGTGTGAGTCCTGGCGGGTAAAGTCCACCTACAGCTCCTCACCCAGGATGCAAAGTCCCTGCATTCCAAAGGAAGCTTTATGTGAGGTTAGAGCAATCAAACCGGCCCAAGCCCTGGGAAGGAGCGACAAAAACGGCGTGGGGGTGGGGCTCCGAAGACGAAGTGTACCTCTGCGAAGGCTCTTATCTCCTGACGAGGGTGGGGGGTGGGGAGAGTGTTTTTCTGAAATGTGAGATTGTTGAGTTGAAACCGATACTACAAACGTGGAAACGCCCAATCTCTCCTGGGTAACAGCTTAATAAGTAGGATATTGAGCGTATTTGTAGTAAATAAAAAGTATGGATAGTAAAGGAAACACCCTACCCCAGCACTCTGAACCCAGACTGCAAGGAAAAAAGGTGACTTAGCCCTCTGAATCACCAAGTCATCTGTTCCTCCAGGGAGTGCTCGGTCTCAGGAGGGCGCCACCAGGCACCCGCTGGTAAAGGCGCACCACGGTCCTTTCCCAGAGTTTGTAATGCTTTTTTAAAAGAGATGTTACAATTGGGCAAAAATGGACAGTTTATAAATACAGCAAAGGTAGGAAATTGGAGGAAATACAATATTCAGAAAGAACAAGATAACATTGATATTCAAGAGGGTAACTTTTGTGAAATAGTGTAAAGAAAAGTATTCTAGGTAAATTGGAGGTTTCATCGAAGTGAATTTGGAGCCCAATTCCTATTTTACAATGCTCTCCTCACTTCTATCCTGAGTGCTCCAAGATTATCCCCAGGACCACTAATAATCCTACTCAATTTATTATCTCAAAAATCACCTGTTAATCTGTGGCCAGTTCCTAAACGGAGCATCAAGGAAGGCTACAAAAAAATTAAAGATAAATGATGGGAAAGAGGTGATGCCACTGGCTAAGATCGAAAGGGCAGGAGACAGAAGGGGTTTGGGGAGGATCTAGAAAATGAAGAATATAAAAAATTAACTTTGAAGCTTGCCATTTTGGAAAAGGAGATAGGGTACACACACAGTCTAGGAAACAACTGGAAATGAAGCTTAAAAGAGACGAGGGATAGAGACAGAACTGAGAATCATCCTCATAAATGTGGAAGTTTTCAAAAAGGAGCAAAGAACAAACCTTGAGAAATATGGAACAGATTGAAGTAAAAAAAAAAGTGATGAAGTATTCTGAGAGAGAGGTAAAAAAGTCCATGCAAGAGAAGTGGTCCAGCAGAAAAAGATCCTGAAACTGGCATTTGGAAGTTCCGGAGGACCTTGCCGATGTCAGTTTCAGCAGAGGGGCAGTTACTCTGCTCAGGCTGCAGCAACGGGAGAGTATCAAGAAAAGAAAAAAAGAAAGCGTCCTTTGACTTAAAGACAGGGGAAGTTGTATATTTGTTTTGTTTTTAGAAAGGAGAGTCTTAGTTATATTTTGAGAATAAGCCAGAAAGTGAGCAAGAGTCAAAAAATAAAAGGGAGAGAGAGAGAACAGTAGAGCCTGGACCAGCAGGAAAAGGTAAATCTGTGTTCTAGAACTTAAATTGGAAGACCAGGCTGGAAGGAGTGATGACTTGAGGACGTTGAATCAGATAACATTGCTAGACCTGCAAGGACAAAAGTGATTCCTAGGGCAGGAGACTTTGTAAACAACTTTTGGAACTGGGGAATCACCGGCAAGAAGGATGTAAGTGCCCAATGAAAGGCAAAAATGAAATGCTGCCAGAAAGTCTCCCTTTCAGCTGGAACAGGGTAACACTAATAACCCTACTCAATTTGTTGAAAGCAAAAGAGAAATGAAGTCAAGAAAACATGCAAAGTTTCTTGGAACAGGAAAGTGTAATGTCTGTGGTGGGACCAGAAGCAGCACTTACAGGCTGAGCAAAGGGACAGAGGAATAATGGAAATAAGTCTGGAAAGGTAGAATCTGGGATAGATTAACAAGGCCTTGAATGTCAGGATAAGAAATGTGGGCTTGATTGGTAGGTAATGGAGAGCCATTGAAGGTTTTTGAGCAAGAAGGTGGCAGTACTTGTAAAGCTTAATCTAGGTTAATATAAACACAATGACAAGGTGTTGGCAAAGGGAGGGAAATGAAAGGTACCATCCGCTCTGATGTCCTTAGCATATCACTCATCATTGCTTTCTCAAGCGTTGTTTATAGACACTTTACCCTTCAACAGCAATAATATGTAATTATACTATCAATTGAGGCTTTTCTTTGTTGACTAAAATTTCTACTATGGATGTTGTTAGGGAAGATAATAAGAAATATTCACTTTATATTCTCATTTGATATACTTTGTATACTCACTTGATCCTGGGTTCAGAATCTCCAAGAGTCGCCAAAGGATATTTTACTCTATTTGACCCACATCCTCCACTCTTTCCTGAGTCTGACTAGGGAGGTAGAGTCACAGAGATTCCTTGAGTGCAAACCACTGATGTAGAACACTGAGTTGGCAGTTAAGAGACATATATTCTAATTTTATTTTGGGGAAAGCTGTAATTTTAACCAAGTTTCCTAAAATCTGTGGGATTCAGGGTTTTTTTTTCTGAGAAATTAAGTTGTTTCCAGGTTTCATAATTATATTTTTTCCTTTGGGCTTCTGGCTTGGGGGCAGGGGCAGTCTTGTCCTGTCTTCCAGCTCCTCCTTTAATCATCAGCTGGGAACATGAGTTAAGTGTAACCAAATCTGGTACACAACTGGGTGACTGCGACAAAGAATTCCAGGCAACATTTTTAGCCTCATCAGTCACTTTCTGACAAGGAAAGGACTCATCCCCAAGCTCCTCAAGTCTCCACATAGCCTCTAACTCCTTTACCATCTCAGCTGCCCCACCTCTAATGCTCTGAGGAACTAAATTCGAGTATGTTCAAAGTCTGCAGTATACATTCAGAATGAGAGTATCCTTTAAAAGAAAAAGAAAAAAAAAGAGCAAGAAGGCTACATATTTCCAATTCCAATGGAAACTAAAAGGAACAGATTCTTTTCACGTACTTTTTTCCCCATGAGTTGTTAAAACGCCACACTGAGGAGAGAGCCAGCTTTCCTCCACACACCCAAACAACAGCTGATTCCACCTCGCCTCTTATTTTCCTTTCCTCATCAGTGAAGGAGGCAGAAGCTTGGCAGCTTAAGCTTATACACATATTCCCAAAGCCCCACGTTCTCTCTTTCACAGGCCACTGTGACAAAGTGTTTCGGCCGACTCCCACTATCTGATTTCCTCAGCTTCTTTATCTGAATTTGTTTTTCAAAGTAATATCTCAAATATAGAAGCAAGTTGATATATGGACATAGCACTGGACTCAAAGACAAAATACCTGATATGGCAACCATGGAGATGTGCAGCTCAGATCTCCTTTAAGAAAAGAACCTGCCATTCAACTGCCAAAGTGCAGTTAGTGATCAGTCTCCAGCTATATCACTCTGGGATCCATTACAGTGTCAGAGCATAGACCTCACTCTACCTGAGTGGCTGGCCCCTAGCCTGCGATTAGGCACAGGATGGGTTTTAGGGCCGGGCCATTTCTGCCCTCTGTTGGACTCCTCCACAGAATGCTCTTCGCTCTGGAGCTTTCCATTGGGTTGACTGCAAATTGGAAGGATGGGTATCATGGCTTGAGGTTCTCCTTGTCCAATTTGGCTACTTGCATCCTTTCCTTTCACAGGTATCAAATCTGCATCACTATCTGAAGGCTTTCTCTACCCAGTCCTCCTTCTTTCCCCTCTAACTTTCACAGGCACTACCACCCAATGAACTGCCTGCACTCCTAATTTCTTGTCAGTATCTGCTTCCCAGACCACCTGAATGGACTCAGGAGTGGTCTGAAAAAGCAGGCAGTAAGATAGGGTTTGAAATATGCATTACTCACTACCTGGCTTGTAATAAGAACCTCTCCTGTGTAAGAATGTGGGCTGTAGATAGTCTCTGGGACAAACTGGGAACCCACTTGCTAAAACTTTCACTGATGGTGAAGTGGGACAATGTTCCTATGCTGCAGTAATTCACGCATATTAGGTAGGCAGAGGGGGAGCAGTGAATATAGGGACAGTGGAATTGGTTGGCTGTTACTAAGTTGCCTTGAGCCCTGCCAAGAGATAATGAAAAAATGAGAGCAGTTACCAAACAGTAAGAATTAACTGTGAAGGCCAGAGAGCCTCTTTGATGGGTTACAAAGAGGCCTTTATTGGGTAAAAGGCAGAAAACTGTACTTGACCAACAATTAAAATAAAATAAAAAAAGAGAGGCCTTTATCTATAGCAGTGGGACAACAAAAACAGCTGGAGATCAAACTCAGGATTTAAGAGAGTTCCAGGAGACAGATCTGTAACCAAGGTCAAGGCTTCAGATGGAATGGAGATCTAGGTGGAGCCCCCAAAGATTTTGGCCCCTACATCAGGCCCATCCCTGCCTATTAAGAGCTAGCACTTCCTCCATGTGGAAAGACACTGCAGGGGTCTCTTTCCCCTCGGAATCTGCCTCTGCTTCCTCTCCTGACTGCCAGGATCTTAGTTAGGGTTAAGTTACAACATAGTTCAGAGAAAATATGCTGGTCCTGATGAGGGACCCAAAGTACCTGCAAGAACTAACCAACATGTACTGGTAAGAGTTGGGGAGTGCCTGTTGGATTGGATTTTGATGGTGCTTAATCAAGAGGCTGAAATACAAGGCTGAATAAGGGAGAGTTTATTGAGTGGGGCTCACTCTCTTGGAATAGGATTTAACTTCCTGGTAAGGTCCTGCCCCAATGGCTTCTAGAAACATGGAGAAAATGATAACCTTTGCTGAGTGAAGTTCAACTGCCTGAATTGCCCCAGCAATTGCAGGAAGGATTAAATGGCTCAGTGAGCCTTGGCTGGTGTAGCTCATTGGATTGAGTGTGGGCTGTAAACCCAGGGGTCACCAGTTCGATTCCCAGCTGAAGCACCTGCCTAAGTTGCGGGCCAGGTCCCCAGTGGGGGACACATGAGAGGCAACCACACAATGATGTTTCTCTCCCTTCCCCTCTCAAAAAAAATAAAGTCTTTTTTAAAAAATGGCTCAGTGACATGGGCAAGCTAAAGTCAATCATAAGAGGCCAGAAGCTCTACCAAAGGATGTGCTACAGGTGTAGGGACCTCACTTGTCAAGGCCATCAAGAATGGGCTGCTGAGAGGAGTGCCAACCTCACTGAGCAGCTTTTTCCTGCAAGCCAGAGATGACAAGAGGAGATGCTACTGTGGTTTAGCTCTTTTATAGCAACAGGGAAAATGGGAGCCCAGAGCAATAAAGGCCAAGTGGCAGCACTTAACTGCCAGAAGCCTGGGGGTGACAATTATAATAACTGGCAAGGTCAGAGGGGCAGCTCTGGGACCTTGCCACAAAGAATTGTGTAGATGGTTAATACAACATGGAATCCCTCGAGGCAAAATAGATGTGTAGTCAAAACAAGTGTATTGCTACAACAATAGACATGAATAAACCAAACAACAAAGAACAGGGTATCGCTGAACACGTGATTGAAAGCACAGATATATGAGTGGGAACCTAGTAAAAAATCATGATCTCTTGTCATGAGTCAGTGCCTCAACCTAAGTCAGTTTTTATACCCAAACTTCATTGGTTAAAGAGGTGGCCAGGCCCTGACTGGTGTGGCTCAGTTGGTGGGGCAGCGTCCTGCAAAGCAAAAGGTCCCCGGTTTGATTCTTGGTCAGTGTACGTGGCTAGGTTACCTATGAGAGGCAACCAATAGCTCTTTCTCTCTTGCATTGATGCTTCTCTCCCACACTGATGTTTCTCTCCTTCTGTCTTTCCCTCCCTCCCCCACTCTCTAAAAACAGATTTTAAAAAAGAGGTGGCCAGGTGTCCAAAACAGGCAATACCACGGTAAGTATACACTGTAATGATTCTCCAGTTCTTCCAGATAGGGATTTGTAATTATTTACTCAGGTAACCATAAATAAAGAAGAGGAGAACACACAGGTATTGATTTAGTTTAGTTTAGTTTGTTTGTTTTTTTATTTTGGTAATCAAATGACCTTTTTTCTTAAAGATTTTATTTATTTTTAGAGGGAGGGGAAGGGAGGGAGAAAGAGAGGGAGAGAAACATCAATGTGTGGGTGCTTCTAGTGTGCCCCCAACTAGGGACCTGGCCTGCAACCCAGGCATGTGCCCTGACTGGGAAATGAACCGGGGACCCTTTGGTTCGCAGGCCAGTACTCAACCCACTGAACCACACCGGCCAGGATCAAATGATCTTTCATGAAATATTTTCCTTTGTAGTTCTCAATTAGCTGGGCATTCTACCGTACCACTGTTTTTATTTTTATTTTATTTTACTTTATTTTCTTACTCTTACCCAAGGACATGTTCATTGATTTTACAGAGAAGGGAAGAGTGGGAGAGAGAGAGAGAGAGAGAGAAATGCTGATGTGAGAGAGAAACAGTGATCAGTTGCCTTTTGAGGTACCCCAACTGGGGACCAAACCTGCAACCCAGGCATGTGCCCTGACCAGGAATCAAAACTGTGACCTTCCAGTTTAAGGGATAATGCCCCAACCAACTGAGCCACATCAGCCAGGGCTGCACGACTCCTGATGTCTTCTATTATGTCATGAGAGTGGTGGTCATCAACATTGCAGCCCACAGACTGAGCAGCTCCCAGGATCTCTTTAATGGTTCCAGAGAGTTCTCTAGCTAAAGATTGGTGCCACATCTGTTGGGCAATTTTGACAATCTAATCAAAAGTGATAACTCCACTGTGCTTAATGGTTCTCGTTTGTTGTTGTTTTTTTTCTTCTTCCTGTTTTGTGGCTGTTCTTTGAGGGCTTTGACGATCAGGGCAGAGGCAGAAGGCACTACCTCAGTCGGGGCCTGTCTGTTCCGAATGGTCAGTTTCACTGACTCTTTCAATCGCCGTTTGCTTTGGCCATGTCATCACCAAGCTTTTTTGTTGAGAGGCCCAGGGGGCCCATCTTGGGCATTAGGGCAGACATGGCACCAACTGCAACTCAGATATATGGTGTTGATCTTACTGGGGTTGAAGTTTGGCCTCATGGTGGAGGCAGCTTGTGTCTAATAAACTGGGATCGGATGACTGAAGAAAGCTGCACCTATGCCACCTTTGAGCCAAAAGCCGGAAGAACACCCAGGCATTTTGAGGGCTGCTGGACACAGGATCAGAGTTGACAGTGATACATGCAGACTCAAAGCATCATCACACCCCTGTGGGAGTGGGAGCTTATGTGTACAAGTAATAAATAGAGTGTTAGTCGAAGTCCAGTTTATGGTGGGTCCACCTCCTCTAGTCAAAAGCAGTCTGGTCTGTTTGGACATCCTGCAGAACATCCCTTTGATCCATTACATTGATGACATCATGCTGATCAGTCAGGATGAGCAAGAGTAGTTAGCATATAAGAAGCCTTAGTAAGACACACATGCTCCAGAGTGTGGAAGATAAATCCCTACAGATAAAGTTTCAGGGGCCTGCCACATCAGTAAAGTGTTTAGGAGTCCACTGTTTAAGAGATGTGCTAAGATGTCCCTTCCAAAATAAAAGACAAATTGCTGCATCTTCTGTCCCTACCACAGAGAAGGAATCACAGTACCAGGGAGACCTCTTCCGGATGTGAAGGCAACACTTTCCTCACTAGGGGCACTGCTCTGGCCAATACAGTAAGTGACAACAAACTGCCAGCTCTGAGTGTGGCCTTGAGTGGGAAAGGAGTGGCACCACTGTTTTAGCTCATGCTGCTGTAATTAAATACCATTGACTGGGTACATTTTAAACAACAAACATTTATTTCTCACAGTGCGCGAGAGGCTGGGAACATCAGGATCATGGTGCCTGCAAAGCTGGTGTTTGGTGAGGGCTTCCTGGTTTGTAGATGGCTGTCTTTTCTGTGTCCTCACAAGGTGGGGAGAGGGAGGGATCTCTCTTGAGCCTCTTTTACAAGGACACTAATCCCATTCATGAGGACTCCACCTTCATGACCTAATCACCTCCTAAAGGCCCCACCTCTTACATCATCACCTTGGGCATTAGGATGTCAACACAGGAATTCTGGAGGGACAAACGCTCAGACCATAGCACCAACATACCATCATTCTCAACAAACTACTGGGGGACTCTGTGCTTCCTGTTCTTGCAGCTCTGAGCTCTGCAGGGTTAGAACTTCACTGCCCAAAGGGGCATACTCTTTCCATAGGGTCACATTAAATGACATGCCAGGACTGCCAACTGGACACTCTGGACTCTTCTATACAGGGAACAGCAGGCAAGAAAAGAAATGACCATGTTGTTGGGGGTAGTTTGCCTTAGAGAAGAAACAGGATTGCTGTTACAGTGTTACACAGTTGGAGCAGGGAGGAATTTGTGATTCGCCTGGGTACCTCTTGGTACTCCATTGTCTGGTTGTGACCAAAAATGGACAAGTGCAGCAACTCTGTCCCGAGAAAGGGCCTCAGACCCACGAGGACTTAGGGTTTGGGCCACACCCCCAGGTATGCCACTGAGAGAAGTACAAGTGATGGTTTGATGGTGAGGTGGATTTAGAGCAGAGGAAGGAAAAACGAGTACCAGTTGCCGCCCTGGGACCAACTGCAGCAATGGGTGCTCTGCTTTTTTCCAATAACTTCCTTCATCCAAGTTTCTCCTCAGAAACAGAGGTACCTGGAACCCTTACCAAGTAGGTAAGAAGTGAATCCACACATAACCCAAGGGAAGATTGCAGCAGCCATGGAGGTTCCCCATTTGGATTCCCTTAATAAAGTGCTTTCTGTTCAGCTGCCAAGAGTGCAGTGATCTTCCAGCTTCCAGCTACAGCACCTTTGGGATTCACTATTATGTTCAAGTTGAGATCACGCTCTCCCCAGACAGCCCCCAGCCAATGACTGAGCATGATTTGGGCACTAGAACTGGCCATTTCTGCTCAATATGATTACCCCTAATTTGCAATCTTTGGCTGAGACGTTGTTAGAGCTGATCGTGACTTGAGGCTCTCGTTGTTCAATCCTGCTCCCTCTCTTCTCACAGGCGTTAACCCCAATACACTTCTTAATTTTCTCTCAGTATCTGTTTTTCTGAAGGACCCAAGCTGATGCACCCAGGCAATAAAATAATGTTAAACAGAAAAACAAAAACTACATATAATTATACATAAAAATATACATACACTACAATTACAAAGATATTTTAAATGTGAGTTTATATAGATGAGACCTGAAAGAAGACATAGAAGAATAAAACTGGTTTATCCATTAGTGTAAAAGGATTGTGAACCAATTTTTTTTTTCAGCATGAATACTTTTATATAATCGGGAAAATAAACCATAAACTTTGAAGATGAATCCACTGAGAATAGTAAATTTTAAAAAGGAGATTTCTATAATCATGTGACTATAGCATTTATATTAAAACACTTGAAGTTTTTTTTTTTAATTTATGTACAAAGAGCTAGCACTGTTTCTGTGGTAAGTCAGATTCTTGAATGACACATTCAAGGAAGTTCACTTAGTCCAACTTAATGAAGTTTATATCCTTTGTGTACTGACAGAAACCTTCGTGGCACAGACTGAGGTTGTATTTCCAGATCAGACCATGTGGGTCTGAGCAGATGTGACAAGAATGAGAACCCTGGCTGCATTTTCTTAAATGGCTTCAGTAGAGCTGCTGGTGACCCATGTTACTCTCTTGGATGTAAGAGGCAAAAAGTGAATTCAAATTTTAAAAAATATTTTATTTATTTATTTTTAGAGAGGGGAAAGGGAAGAAGAAAGAGAGGGAAAGAACCATGCATGTGCAAGAGAAACATCTTGCACATGGGGGGGTTGCCTCTTGCACACTCCCGACCAGGAAAAGTGGCCCACGATCCAGGCACATGCCCCCAGGCATGTGCCCAGACCAATTGGGAATAGAATTGGTGACATTTAGGTTCATGAATGATGCCCAACCCACTGAGCCAAACCAGTCAATTTTTTAAAATCTATCCTTTACAGTTGACATAGTGTTGTTTATATATTACACAAAAAATAAAATAATATCGGTTCTGAAACTACTTTCTGCCTCTAAAAAGCTGAGCTACTTTGGGCAACTGAGTTTTAGTTTCCTTGTCTACGAAATTTTAATAACTGAAAATAAAATGAGATTAGGAATATGAACACATTTCATTATTGTATAACAATATAAAGTTGTAAAACATTATTTTTATTCTCAGCTTGGATCTGAGATATAAGCAAGTTGGTCAAGCAACAAATGTCTGTTGAGTATCTGCTATGTGCCATGTACCATTGGTATTATTGGGTTGGCCAAAAAGCCCGTTTAGTTTTTTCTGTAAAATAGAGAACACGTTCTTCATTTTTTTAAAAATGTATTTAATTATTGTTCAAGTACAGTTTTCTGTTTTTTACTCCCATCCCAGCTCACCCCCGCTTGTTTTTCATTTTTGCCAATACTTTCGTTGATTTGGATATTTTGAGTATGCCAGCTATCTCCTGCTATTGCCTTTTCATGGGTAGAGGCCAGAGGTGCTGCTAAACATCTTCCAATGCATAAGACAGCCCCACAGCAAAGAATTATTTGGCCAAAATGTCAAAAGTACCAAGAAACTTCACAAACCACTTTGACACATTTGATCAGTCACAACACCTTCCTCATAAACTGCACAAACCATTTTTTGTATTTCAGTTGGATTTTTACCTTTCTTGAAATAATAAAGCATAATATGCTGAAAATGGTGTGTATCTTCTTCCATCTTAAAGATTTAAATGGCTGCACAAAAATTCAACCAATTTTGAAAAATTTTAAAAATATGCTTGCGGATATGATAGCTGTCACAATACAATCCAACAACATTGTTTCAAATGATGTTAAAGACATCTAAGCACTACTAGAGCCGCCATATGGAAAAAACTAAATGAACTTTTTAGCCAGTCCAATAGTTTTCTATGGCTACTATAACAAATTACTATATATTTGGTGGCTTAAAACAACACAAATTTATTATCTTACAGTTCTGGAGGTCAGAAATCCTAAAATTAATTTGTCATTGGGACTATGTTTTTTCTAAAGTTTCTAGGACAAAATCTATTTCTTGGCCTTTTCCAGCCTCTAGAAGCTGTCTATATTCCTTGGCTCATGGCCCCTCCTCCATCCTTAAAGGCAGAAGCATAGCATCTTCAAACTTCTCCCACTTTCTTTTTCTTAACTATTTATTTATTTATTTTTTAGAGAGAGGGGAAGAGAGGGAGAGAAACATCAATGTATGGTTGCCTCTCGTGTACCCCTCACTGGGGAGCTGGCCTGCAACCCAGGCATGTGTCCTGACTGGGAATCGAACCAGCAACCCTTTGGTTAGCAGGCTGGTGCTCCATCCACTGAGCCACACCAGCCAGGGCTCTCTCCCACTTTCTGCCCACTGCTTCTGTTGTCACATCTTCTCCACTCTGGTCCTACTACCTCTCTCTTTTGAGGACCCTTGTGATCACACTAGGCCCACCCTTACAATCTAGTGTACTCTCCCCATTTTACAATCCGTAAGTCACATCTGCCAAAAGCCTCATGAGGTAACATACCCAGAAGTTCCTAAGATTAGGAGGTAGCCATCTTTGGGAAACCATTAATCTGCATTATTGTGGTGATACAGTGGTGAACAGAGGAGGTAAGATCCTACACCCAAGAAGAGTCTATTCTGATGCAGGAGGGGCAGAAAATAAACAGGTAAATTAACTGATAGGATGTTGATAAGTGTCTTGAAGATAATTTTTAAAAGGCATCACAATGGTATAAGGTATGAAGAGTGGTCAGCAAAGTCACTCTCAGGAGGCTTTTGAGCCAAGCCTGAAGGCAATTACTGGCACCCTTGGCTCTGTTTCCCTAGAGTCCTATGGAGATTTTTGGAAAATCTGTGGCCTTTTAGTTCAGGAAGTAGCTGGCTGTTACCCTCCCCACTTATGAGTGAGCTCTATTAAGCAGACCAGTTCCAATTCACACAGTAAATATTAATTTGTTACCACCATCCTAGGGATTTTAGTCTCTGTGTTTCTAAATTTCAAGTCAAGGTCAAGAATCAACCTTGTGCACAATACCTCAAGCTCTTTCTTTCCAACTTGGGCCTAGCATAACGAATCCCTCATAGAAGGGTGGTAAGAAGAAGAAAGGCTGTTCTGCCATCAACAAGGTGACTAGAGAGTATACCATCAACATTCACAAATGAATTCATGGAGTGGGTTTCAGGAAGTGTACCCTTGGGTACTCAGACAGATCCAGACATATGCCATGAAGGAGATGGGAACCCCGGATGTGCACACTGACACGAGGCTCGACAAAGCTGTTTGGGCCAAAGGAATAAGTGATGTTCCATACCATACCCAAGCGTGGTTGCCCAGAAAATGTAATGAGGATGAAGATTCACCAAACAAGCTCTATATATTGGTCACCTACACACCTGTCACCACTTTAAAAAATCTTATAGACAGTTAATGTGGGTGAGAACTAACTGCTGATGGTAAAATAAAGTTATAAAATTGCCAAAATGAAAAAGGGAAAGAAAGAACGGACCTTGTTGCTTCAGGATTAAGAACAGCCCTAGACTTCCACCAAGATGGAGGCATAGGTGGATAAGCCGTGCCTTCTCACACAACCAAGTTTAGAGACAACTAAATATTAGCAACAGAAAACACAGCCAGAACACGGAAAATTGAACTTTTCGGAAGTCTGATAACAACAAATTCTTCAGCCTGACCGGTAAGAGGGGCGAAACCAGCAGCTGGTGGAGCGGGGTTGCACAGGAGGACTCGGTCAGACGGACTCAGGCGCGCAGAATCCAGGTGCAGGGTTGGACCTAGTGAGCGACCCAGCGAGCGACCAAGCGAGCAACCGCAGGGAAACAGCGAGGGAGCAGGGCTGTGGGTTGACTGTGGTCACGTATTGGTGCGTGGATAGACAAGCGAGGGAGTGGGCGATTGGACCAGAACCCAGCCGGTCCCCGCGACAAGCGGCAGGGAGGGCGCCGCCATTTCCCTGCTCTGACCCCACCTCCACATACAGTGTCATAACCCAGCGATTCTGAGTGGCCCGGCCCAGGGGAACCACCTAAGACGCTGCTCCTCACCCAGCTGTGAGAAACAGCAGAGGGGGTCGCCATTTCCCCGCTCTGACCATGCCCCCACATACAGCGTCACAACCCAGCGACCTGGTAGTCCAAGGCTCCGCTCCTCACACTTAAAGGGTGCAAACAGGCCAAAAATGGCTCAAGAAGATCTCAAAGCCCCAGAGCCTTTAAGCGATGAAGAAATAGCAAAACTCTCAGACGCACAGTTTAAAACACTGGTGATCAGGATCCTCACAGAACTGGTTGATTATAGCCACAAATTAGACAAATATATGAAGGCGAAACTAATTGAAATGAATGGAATTGCACAGGAAACCAATAGCGATGAAAAGGAAACTGGGACTCAGATCAATGGAGTGGACCAGAAGAAAGCAAATTATGGCCAAACAGAAAAGAGTGAAGAAGCAAGAATTCAAAGAAATGAGGAGAGTCTTAGGAACCTCCAGGACATCTTTAAACGCTCTAACATCCAAATTATAGGGGTACCAGAAGGGGGAAAGGAACAGCCACCAGTGGAAAACTTATTTGAACAAGTAATAAAGGAGAATTTCCCCAATCTAGCAAAGGAAATAGACTTCCAGGAAATCCAGGAAGCTCAGAGAGTCCCAAAGAAGTTGGACCCAAGAAGAAACACACCAAGGCACATCATCATTACATTAGCCAAGATTAAAGTGAAGGAGAGAATCCTAGAAGCAGCAAGAGATAAGGGGACAGTCACCTACAAAGGAGTCCCCATCAGACTGTCAGTGGATTTCTCAAAAGAGACATTACAGGCAAGAAGGGGCTGGAAAGAGGTATTCCAAGTCATGAAATCCAAAGACCTACAACCAAGATTGCTCTATCCAACAAAACTTTCATTTAGAATGGAAGGACAGATAAAGTGCTTCTCAGATAAGGTCAAATTCAAGGAGTTCATCATCACCAAGCCCTAATTATATGAAATGTTAAAGGGACTTATCGAAGAAAAAGAAGTTAAAGAAACATGAACAGTGAAAGGACAACAAACTCACAGTTATTAACAATCACACCTAAAACAAAAGCAAACTAAAAGGACAGCTAGATCAGGAGTGGAAACATAGAAATGAAGATCTCAAGGAGGGTTAGCAACAGGGGAGTGGCAGGAGGAGAAGGGGGGAGAAGGTACAGAAAATAAGTAGCATAGACAGTAGATAGAAAATAGATGGGGGGGGCAAGAATAGCATGGGAAATATAGAATCTAAAGAACTTGAGACACATGGACATAAACTAAAGGG